GTGCGTCCGAGGATAAAAGCTTGACCCGCTCCCTGGACCGTGGCTTCATCACATGGGAAGAAGGCACATCCAGGAAGCAAATCGCGGGTTGTCCCCCAAAGACTGATGCGAGAGCATTGAACTGAGCTCTATCGGCCGTCAGCCATCGCGTACTGAACGGTCAAATAGTTTTCTGTGATCCACAAGTGTAGGCGTCGTAGGGATAGCAGCGCTGCCTGGAACATTGGCTCAGTTTCTTGTGACATCACAAGCATAGCCACCAAGTGAAATCTGCGAGAGCGGTCTGAGACCCCGACTAGCAAACACGGGGTAGTCCATCTGGTTCGTCTTGTAGGTTCCATCCAGGTGGAGTATGAAGCTCTCAGGCGGGATCAGTAGCCGTAGCATCAGTGCTTTTGTAGTAATCCCAACTAGGAACGGTTTGTGGTCCGAGCCGTTGCCGATGAGGGGCAATCCAGCGTTGTCCAGATCCCACGTGAACGTGACGGGCTCCGTCATGGACTTCGAGGCGTCGTAGGCGTGCTCGCGGACCCACTTCGTCAAGTCCTGGACGCGGTCGTGGTTTTCCATCTGCGTCCGGGCGTAGTGATTCACGAAGTTTTGCACCGTCTTCAGCGCTGGTACTTCCTCCAGTGGGGTGGCAAATTTGCGTGCCATCGCGTGTCTTATCCGCATGGGTCGCAGGTGGTTCTGGACCAAGTCCCGGCAAAACGCCTTCTGGACCTGGGTCAGCTTCTTGCGCACTGGGATTGGTAAGGATAAAGAGGCCGATGTGTGCTCTCCGAGCTCGAAGACGGTGGCCCGCTCAGACTCCAAGCACGTCAGCATCTTTCCCCTCCATGTGCACCTCACGGGGCTCGCGTCGGTGCAGGACGCTGAACTGCATTCTACCAGTCGATACCGCATCTTGTGGTCGCCGCCTGGACAGATTGTACACGCCATCGCTTGGGACTTATGAATGTCAAAGGACTTCAGGTTCGCGACCACCGTCTCGGCTTCAGCGCCGTCTACATCTACGGCGATCTCTCGCCAGCTCACCCGTGAAGGCATGCTTGGTCGCTTTTCGGGGAACGATGTGGGTCACACTGCAGAGGGCTGGTCTCCGCTGGCCCAGTTTCACCCTCCAGACACCCTTTCTGCGTGCTTCCCGTATTGATCGCTTGTATTGTGCTGAGTACTGTGCTGACACGCACTGTAGTGTGGAGAGCAGCTTCTACGGTGCTGACACAGATTTGTTGTGCCATGGCCATACTGTATGGTGTCAGTAAGGCGTTCCCGCAACAAAGAGCTTATGATCAGGGGGAAGCTCAGTGGCTGATCATTTTCAAGAATCTCCGGTATAGAATTTTGCTACACATGGGGATAGAAGGTCAGACGCTCCTGAAAACATATCTGTCGACAAGCGTTTCATATGCAGTTTGCGAGGACAAAGCATAAAAACGTTGACAACCACTATTGTCTGGCGCAAAAAAAAGTTGATCCCAGAATTCAAAAACTCATTTTTTTATTATTTTGCGATCAAAGAGAGAAACTTGG